GTTTTCTTCTAATGGATGTTGTCCATCAGCTGATTTTTACAATCACATCTTATAAGCACATGTGTTCTTTTGTGTATTCAAATCATGCCATTCAATTCCTTTTTTGTTGTTGTTTGGTTGTTTGGTTTGGTTTGTTTTAAACTTGGACTAGTCCCAGCAGGGTTCCTCTTGGAAAAGGGCTTGGGTCTTGCTGCACCCAGGGTTGGTCCTCGCTTGCTCTTCACGTGTCTGTTCTTGCATGTGTGGCCCTGGCTGGGGAGTGTGAGGCCGGAGGAAGCAGCAGGAGACACAAGTGATGCTGCAGGACGGTTGCTCCCGCAAGGCTCAAGCTTCTCAGCGTCCCTGGAGCTCCCATCCACCTGAGCCTCCATGCACGGGCTGATGGAGGCCAATGGGGGCAATGCTCAAGGTGACAAAGATCCATGGCAGATGGGCAACCTCGCTCAGCTCTTTCCTCACCAGCGAGCTCGGGTGGACCATGTCCAGATCCAGCATTTCTCCAAGTTCCCTGCTGCCCGGTGCTGCTGGTGTTTTGGAGGTGACACAGCCTCATTATGTCTGCTAGGACGCGGCGTGTGACCCAGCAGAGCCTCTGGGAAATGGAGCACTTTGTTCTGCCCTCTGCACTGCCCTTGGAGGTGAGACGCCCCCCAAGGAGGTATTTTATTTTCTCTCCCACCTCAGTTCCTGTGCCTGGGGCCCCTATAAGTGATGGCAGGGTAATCATTTACTTCCTGCCGCAAGCCACTCCTACGGACTTTCCTTCGACCTTCAGACTAAATGGGCAAAATAAAAACACCGGAGGCGGAGAGGCGGATGCTGCCTTCTGCAGCGGGCACGAGGAGCTGCCCGCCCGCTCCTGCTCCGGGAACCCAGGGCTCCCACGCGCGGCTCTTCACCCCTCGGCCGGTAAAGTTGATTTCCTTTCTCATTGATGATGGAGGCTCTCTCTTCCCTTGAGGACTTAACTAGCTCTGGAGAAGCATAGCTTGTGAAGGTCTTGTCCCCTGCTGCTGGGGATTAGGTACAGAGAGGCCCCGGCTTGGGAGAGCAGATGTGGGCACGGTGGGTCCAGCTCTGCGGCAGCAGTTGAGCACGGAGTGGGGGAGATATTTTGATCTCCAGAACTGGGTTTGTTTCCCAGTTATGGAGGAATTCCCAGTTATTCACATGAATCACTGCAACTCCAGAGAGAAGGACCTCTCCTTGGACCCCCAGAAATGCTCTGAAGGGTGGAAAATTCCTCATGGCTTAGAGCAGTGATTGCCAGGGAGCAATCCACTACCACTGGGCAGAGAGAAAAGGACCTTCTCTCCCCTGCTTGTGTTCTGAGTCCCTCTTCAACTTGCATTCCTTGGACCTAAGGAGCAGCCGCAAGTGTTTCTGATCCTACCTGATTTCTTGACCTGGCAGGTCCATAAGATGGACTTAGTGACAAATCTTGCCCCAAGTAGCCAGTACAGAGAGAGGAGGTTGGGGCTGCATTAGGAGTTTGCAGCCAGCACAGGGTGACGTTGCACCAGAAGCTTTGGGTATTTTTGGCCAGGGTCTCCCAACCCCCTTCGCAATGGGCTGCACCTTGTGCAGTTCCAGGTGGCTGCGTCCAGCACTCCTTGTCTGGGACACCCCAGATCACTGCTTGGCAGGACAGGCTCTTCCTGCGAGACAGGAGAGTTCAACACGAGAGAGGATGAAGGGTCAGCAGAGGTGAGGACTGGGTACATGCACAAACCTGTTTTCTGTCCTGTTTTGGGTGGCTGGCTGGATTGAACTGCTTTTGCACAGAGGCTCACAGCCCCACAGAGCGCCTTGAGCAGCATTTGGCCTGGGCTGCTTGCTGGATCCAGTATTTAACTATATAACTTTGGAGATGTGTAACTTTGGAGTTAATCTCTTGCGCACCAGCTGTGCCCGAGGTTTCAGCTGTGGTCAAGGCCAGCACCTTGCACAGCTCCCTGCTCCTGGGGGAAGGAGAAGGAGCAGGGCAGGAGCAGGGTCAAGCTCACAGGTTTGGGGGCCAGCATTCCCAGGGATGCCATCAAAGAGCTTTCCTGACAAATCCATGCTGTGCCAGCAGAGTGAAGGCCAGTTTTGGGGATATGTGGCTGTAGGAGCCACCTCTTAGCTGCTTGGTCCACCTGGGGTGCTACCAGGGAGCTGCCTCTGCCCTTGCTCGGCTGAGCTGGTCACACCACAGGGCTGGAGCTGTGGGCTGCAGCACAGTGTGTGCACCCTGCATCAGATAAAAATGAACTTCCCTGCAGGAGAAAAGGTGAATTTGCCTCAAAAGGCCACGTGTTTTGTAAAGAAAACCCCCCCAAATTCAAGATCCTCCCCCCAAAAAACTATTCCAAAATCCTGCTGGGGAGGAGAGAACAGCAAACAGGAGAGCTGCAACATCACCCCGTGCCTGGGCAGCTGGGGCAGGAGGAGATGTTTAGGGTTTGTCTGCTTCCAAATTTGTTATTAATTCTTTGAGATAGTGCCAGCACTTAACACGCAGGAGCAAGTCCTAGCCAGCTAATATAAGGATAGTAATAAGATCAGGTATTTGTTCCTATGACTAAGCTGAAAGCTTTACTAAGGATGAGTAGAGTTCTGCCTTGTTTGTGGTTGTAGAAATGGAGGCACAGAAAGCTGCAGGTGTCGGTCAGAGCTATGACTCTGTCCTGTGGAACGGGGACCCGAGAAGAGTTCAGAGACTCTTTTAGTCCCTTTCACTAAAACAAGGAAAACCTCTTAGCATCCATAGGAGACTCCTTGGCAAAATAAAGGTATAGTATCTTGGCACAGCCATGGTTTGCTGAAGCTAAAGAGAAGTGGAGACAAGGAAGGAAGGTGAGGACTAGAGGGGGAAAGAAAAAAAAGATACTTCAAAGAACCCAATCGCTCACCTAAAATCTTTTCAGTCTTTCCTGAATCCTCTTAAGATGAAGAAATAGGCTGAGATCTTTTCCAGAGCTATGCTGTGCAATGCAATGCTGTTCCTTACATACAGATAACGGAGCCGCCAAACAGCTCCCAGTAGGGCCGTAGGAGTTTCAGGTCACCTTTCACTGCAGGTTGAAACAAACTGCTCTCCAGGGAAATGTTTATTTTAACCTTATCTGGACCTTTCCCTGCAGTTCTGATTGCTTAGGTCTATGTAGTTCCTCTTAAGTGATATGTTTATGATCATGGATATTGGTGTATAAAGAGATTAAGACAGGACAGCATTATAAAATAGATGAATAGCACACAAAAGGTTATAAACTGGAGCACGCAGGGGTGCATCTCCGCATGTACATGTGGCTTGGCCCATCCCCTCCATGGATCCTCCACAGCCAGGAGGGCCAAACTTGGTCTGGGCACTGCAGCTTTCACGTCGTCCTGGGGTTTGGGAAGGTGAAGGCAGCTTTCCTCTCCCAGAGGCAAAAGGGAAAAGGCTTCCAAGTGCAGGCAATGTCCGGAGGCTCCGGGCTATGCCAGTGCATGCAAAGCCCAGCTCTCTGTAGCCAAGACTTGCTCCCAGGCAGCTCCCTGGCTTTGCCCCTTGCTGTGCTGAAGCCTCGGCCAGAGCTGAGTGCACAGAAGGGGTTAAACATCCCAAGAGCTGCTAATCACCTCCAGCCCAGCCTCCAGCCTGGGCTGGCACAGAGGGCAGGGAAACAACCCCCCAGCCAAGGGCAAAGCAATGCCTGCAAACCCAGCGTGGGCACAAGCAGGCCTCTGGCTTAACCCAAATAATCCAGTTGTGTGTAGGGGATCAGCTCGAGCTGATGAGCTCCATGCGCGGTGCCCTGGCCAGGCAATGCCCCCTCTGCATCTGCACAAGGAGCCGGGAAGGTGCAGAGGAGCGGGGGCTCCCCCCAGAATCCTCCTTCGGGACCTCCTAGAGAGCCCAGCTGCAGGATGACTAAGTGTTGAGGATGAAGAGCCAAGGGCAGAGCTCTGATGGACGCAACAGGACGGGAGCTCCAGCAGGGCCCCTTGTGGTCACCTGCTGTTCCTCCTCGCAGCCCGGGCAGGCTGGAGGGCATCGGCCCCGCTGCCGTTTTGGGCGAGACCTGGGTGCAAATATTGAATCGCAGGCCTTGTTTAATCATTAAAGAGCCGGGTTCCTCCTCTGCTTCCTACCCATCATCAAAGGGGAAGACGATCCAGCCTTGGTGCCTTCCATACTGGGTTCCCATTAAGCCACACTACTTTTCACGTGTGGAGGCAGCGGGAAGGTGCTGGCTGGAAATGGGTCAAACTCAGCACCAAGGGGTGCCCACAGGAGCGGAGGCGCAGAGCACCCATGATGGGTGCTCGTCTCTGCCTCCGGGGCTCAGGCTGAGGTGGGAATCATTCCTGGGTGGGAATCGTTATGGGCTCTAGTGCTCCCGGCACCTCTCCTCTGTCCCACTCATGTCACCTACCAAGGGGACAGCTGCTTTCCCAGGACATCTGTCCTTGCTGTGGGGTTCTCCAGGCCAGGCAGCTGCCCCAGCAGTCTGGGGGCACCTGCTCCCTGATAGTGACACCCCAGATGGGAGCCTGTCCTACGGTGGGGCTGGAGAGGTCCTCAGCTGTGGTCCTAGAGTGCTCTCCTGTGTGGGGTCATCCGTCCCCAGGCAGTCAGTGCACGTGTTTTTTCCCCTCAAAAGCACTTCATAAGGGAGTCCAAAGGGAGGGAAACCGAGGCACGGGAAAGCAGCTCCCAGCGGGGCAGAGCCAGGAGCACCTTGATCTCCTGCAGACCTCCCCGTAACCTCACATTGGATCTGGGTGACCAGACAAGTGTCAGGGAGCAGGATGCTGTGCCCCATGTCCAGAGCGTGGCAGCTCCCTCGTTCTGCTGGCTCCCTCCAACAGGAACCCCAAGCACCTGCTCTCCTTCCTACCCAAGACAAGACCTTTATCTTTGCAGCAGGAGAAAGGCCGGGCTGCGACGTGCCGGCCGTGCACGACCTGCCTCCTGGACGGCCACGGAGCTCCTGCCCCAGCTTCCGTGGACTTGATGAACGTGGATGGAGCCCTCAACCACCACCCTGGGGAAGACCAAGGGTAACACTCCTGGGTGCCGCTGGGGGCTGCGAGGGCAGGGAGGAGGAGGAGGAGGGAGGAGGCATCGCGTTCTGTTCAGCAGCCTGTCCCGAGTGGAGCCCATGGCGGCAACGGGAAGTCCCAGGTGTCCCCTGCTGCATGGCTTCCACATGGGCTTATTGGGCTGGATGCTTGGCACCCACTTTGGACAGGGTATTTTTCTTGCAGACCTAAGGAGCCCAGACACCGCCTAACCATCGCTTTTTCCATCATTGTATATCATCATCACTGACCCTGCTTTAGCTCACTTATTTTATATATTCTAGCTGGTAAAAAAAAAAACTGTCAGAATCCTTCTACTTTCTCTTCATTGGATAGAAAACAGGCTTTTAATTAAAGATATTTTAGGGTGGAAAACACAGAAATCAAATAGATTTTGTGAACTTTTGCTGAAGTTTTCATTGAAAGACATAAAAGCAGAAAATACTGATTTAAACATGGAAGTTAGCTACTGAAACCAGGAAGAATTCTGAAATCTGACCTTTCCCATTCAAATAAAGAAAAAAACGGAGAAAAAAAGAATATTCCTATATTAACATTGCTAAGTTAAAAACATAATAGAAGATACTATAAACTGATAACATCTGCAGGTCTTTATTGCCTTGCATGTGCCACTTTACTAGTCCTGCTCACAAACAAGGCACTCCCCTCCCACTAGTGAAGGGAGGCATCACCATGTGAAGGAGATTTTATAGGAAATGGCAGTGAAAGCAGGTAGAGGCTGCTTTATTTATCTATTTATTTATTTATTTATATGAGGAGGAAGAAAAAACAGCACGTGTTCATGTTGCATTTCATACACATGCAAAGTGCCAGTGTGGCCTCCCTGGGCTGCAGCCTCCTCTTTGCCATGCAGGTCAGCGGCGGACGCTGGAAGGAGCAGGTTTGACCTGAACTGGATGACAGTTTTAACCTTCCTCCAAACCACCTGGCAGTAGACAACTTTACTGATCACTAAAACGTGCATGAAATTGTTCTACTCCTCCCTGCTTGAGCAGAGGGGTTGGACTAGACCTTCAGAGGTCCCTTCCAAGCTCAACCATTCTGCGATTCCACCTGTGATCCTGCCAGGATCTACCTGGCTCCTCCCACCACCCACACTTCTTCCTTGTTATTCAAAACCATCCACCCCCACCTAAACTTCGGCTCCTTGGGTGTATCTAGCAGATGCTTTTCCCAGCTGATCAGCTTTTGTGGCTCTCTTTAAAGAGCTGCAGAGCATTAGGAGCCCAAGCACCTGAGGCAGGTGTTGATGTTTGTGGGCACCATGAACTGCTGTGGGCACCAAAGCTACTTCTCCCTGGCTTTTAGGAAGCAGCCTTGGGTTTCTAGGCTGGAGGGGTGGCTGGCTGCGGGGTGGCCCCAAGCAAGGATCAGAAGTGTGGGGGATGAGGTGCCTCCGCATCCACCAGCTATGGAATGCTTCCCGTGCTTCCGGACACGGGCTTTGCTAGAGGATGTGCTCCCAGGTGTGCTTGATGCTTTGTTCTTTATTTTCTTGTGATTTATTTGTCTATGTATGTATATATTTTTTCAAAATGCTGCAGGCTTTGGCCACGGGCTGCGTTTTTGGATTTGCATGGAGCTTTCCCCTAAAATCTAGGGGCTTGCCTATGTCTAAGCTCTAGTTTGCTCAGAGATAGGATGCTTCTGTTGGGGCCCATCTCTGGCTCACAGCCTCCCATGGGTGGAGGATCCTCCAGCCATAAGCTCTACAGGGGCTAGCTAAGTGTCTTCCTAAAAATGAAGAAATCCTTGAAATCTTTCCTATTGTTGTTCTGGGCTGGCTCTATAGGGACCCTGTAGATGAGGAGGCATCTGAGGAGGTGAAGGGGAGCTTGGTGTGCATTTCCTGCAGGCTGTGGCTTCCCAGAGCTGTGGCAGGGGGAAGCCTGAGTCTTTCCCAGCTGGTAACAGCCTGTGTTTGGTGTCTTCCTTCCCTTGTCCTCCCTCTGAGCTGGAACTGGGACAACCCCCTCTTAAGTTTCTTGCAGCCCTGTGTTACATGAAAGCCCTGGAGCGCTCCAGGCGCCTCTGAGCCCTGTGCTTCTCCCAGGATGCTGCCTGCTGTCCCAAGGGCAGCCCGCCCGGCCTCGCTGCCTCTCCACACCGGCAGCCGGCGTCTCCCGCAGCGGGAGGGGACGAGGCTCTTGCTCGGAGGGGTTTGCAATCTAGGTTAGGTAGGAAGCGATGCCGAGAGCAGCGACGCCAGGGAGGAGGGCGGGCGGCAGCCCGCGCGTGACGAGCCTGGGAGGTTTCCTCTCGCGCAAGGTACGCGTTGCATTAGTAATGCGCTTGCAGCAAATAACGCTGGGCTGGCATGGGAATGTGGGTCACCGCCGGCAGAACCGTTGAAGGAAGAGGGAGCTGCTGGTGCCGTGCTGTAAGAAAAACGTGTTACCGAGGGATGTTTTTTGCAGGGGGGATCTAGCTGTGGCAGCCACTCCAACTTGTAAGTAGCAGCGTTGTGTTGTGGGAGATGGTGCCTTGGGGGGCACCCCTGGCCTGTGCATGGGGTGGAGGGACACTCTGAGGAGTGTCTGTGCGTGGGGAGGATGTTCGGGGTGGGGATGCAGCAGTCTGTGCTCCTGGAGTGCCATGGTCACATCTTGTCACAGAACTTGGACATGTTTCCTGCTGCCGTCTGTGGTCCTGGCCATGCCTGGAGCATCCCTGCTGCCCCAGCAGCAGTGGCGAGGGATGCAGCCGGGCATGGATAACCACGTATTCCAGTGCATCTTTGTGACCTATTTCTGCTTCTGTTGTTCTGTGCGAGTGCACTCGGAATATCCTCATGCAGTAAGAAAAAAGCCTGCTTGGTTTAAAGCTCCCGAGCAGCCAGAAACCACCCCGGCTTTGCAGGTGTGCTCAGGCCTGGCAGGCTGGCTCCTGGCCAATGTTGTATGTGGTGCAGGCTGGGGATGTGCACATTGCAAAAATGCGTGTGGGACCTCAGGGCAGGAGGAGAGACTCCCACCTCAGAGCGGGTTTGGTCAATGAATTGGCTCTGTTGCGAAGGCTGCCCTTGCTCAGCAGGGACTTGTTGAGTGGCCGCGCTCGCCGCAGAGCGGGATGTGCAGCTGGGGGAGGCAGAGGGAGCCGCGGTGCTGTGGCCCGGTAAGGGCTGCCCAGACCCTGTTCGGCTGCAGGACCAGCCGGGCACTGCAGTGTGCACCCAACCTGCAGAGCAAGCTCTGCCTTCAGCAGACCTTGGTGATCCAGTGAGATGGACCATGGAGGCAATGAGGGAGGAGGAAGAATCATCTCGGTACTGGAAGCTGCCTTGGTGCCGTTGCTTCTGCTTGCCTGCAGGGCAAGGCAGCAGACAACACTGGTGTCTTGGTGACTTTCCAATGTTGTAAAGCTGCTTGCTGAATGGTTTGTGGGTAGTTGTTTATTTGTTTGATTTTTTTGGGGGGGTTTGAGGAGGTTGTTTCCTTCCCTGCTTTTGCCATTCGCAGTCCAGCCAAACTCTAAAGCTGCTGCCTGGCTTTGCTCCTCATGAGATCTGCACCTGGGGCTCAAAACTGCTGCCTGTGCCCAGGCTAGCGGCTCTCTGGAGCAGACCCAGTCCGTCTGCTGGCCATGCATCAGATAGACCAGCAGGGAAAGGGCTCTGCACATGGTCATGGACTTGCGTTTACCTCAAACCCTGTTCCCCAACAGGGCAATGCGCTCTGGTGACTGGTGCTGTTGAGTTTTGTCCAATATGACATCTTGCTTGTGTCCCCAAAAGTACACTTTAAATAATTTTTAAAAAATAAGGTGTGTGATTCTGGGAATGTTTTGATTCTTTTCCTCCAATAGTGAAGCTGGGGCTGAACTAAAGGTGAGAAATGAGTCTTTGGCTACTTTCATTACCTACCACTAAACAAAATGAGAGACTCCTCAAGACTGTGATGGGAGTTGAGGTTTTTCTCGTCCTCCACCTATGCAGCAAGGAGGCAGGCTTGGGGCTTTGCTTTCCTCATCCCACGCAGCCGAGCATGGGATGCTCCTTGGTGGGGATCCCAGCTCTGGCGCTGCTGCGTGTCCTTGGGCCGGTCGCTGGCTGCTGTGTGCGCTGCCTACCTCCCGAGGGCCCTGAAAGGTTTCATTCATGCCCCTAATTGCTCAGGGAGCCCTGAATGAAAGGGGTGGTGGCTGTGCCAAGCCTGACGTATCCCGGCACAGCATCTTCCTTGTGAGCTCTTCTCCCTCCTGGGTACGCAGCGGTGCAGCTCAGGGAGGCTTGGGGGATGTTTTTGACCAAATCTGTGTCTCTGCCCTGGCAGAGTGTGTCAGTCTAGTGCTTATCCCGGCCCTATGAGCTGCTGCGGGCTCCTGGTGGGGCTGGGGGGGGTGTCCTGGTTCCTATAATTTCCTGGTTATTTTGGTACGTGGGTGGAAGCGGGGAGGAGGGTGGCTCTGGAGAGGAGCGAGGTCAGTGAGGAAGAACTGAGCCTCCGTGCGCTCGCGACGGTGCCGCCGCATCGACTTAGGATTTTCCAACTTTTCCTGCAGAACTTATAAAGCACGGCCGCGAGAGGATAGGACAAACCATCAAGGCGTCCGGCTCCAGGCTCTGCTCGTAGTGAGTACGGAGGGCTCCGGGCGGGATCCGAGCCCTTTAAAGCGCGGCCCGCGGAGCCCCGCTCGGCGCCGCGCGGTGGATGTGAGCGGGGCACTGTGTGGAGGCGAGAGCATCGTGTGGACAGGGATGCTGTGACAGCCGGGACAGGGGCTGCGCTCTTCAGAGCTGCCCCCGGGAGCCTGGAGGGCTGAGGGGGAACGGGGAGAGCTCCCTAGGGCAGCGGGTAGAGAAATTGGAGGTTTAAGTGCAGCAGTGGGTGGAGGAGAGGCTGTTTACGGCACCTGCCTCCTGAGGCTGCCCCCGCTGCTGCAGGCCCTGCACTGAGGACACGAATGATCCAAGCTGCCCTGTGCAGGGTGTCCCAGTCTGCGCTGGCCCGGGGAAACGGCCCTGGGCAGTGCAGAGCAGCTGGACCTGCCTGGGCTGGCAGGGACATCCTGGAGACATGGGACATCCTGGAGGAAGGTGCTGGCCAGGACGGAGCCCTGCTCCTGGGTGGGAGCCAGGGAGGGCTCCCCTGTCCAGCCTTGCGGCTGCGTTGCTGCCGGGACTGTGCCTGTCTCTGTGTTGCCTCCCTTGCAAATGAAAGACTAATCAGAAAGTGTTTATGAAGCTTAGGTTGGGTGGTGGTTTTGTATTTATTTTATCTTTATCCTCGCTTGCTCTTCTCTTCCCAAGTGCTGAGCGAGTTGCCTTTTTAATGGACCGATCCAGAAGCCCAGACACCAGTCTCCAGGTGAGACTCAGGCTCTGACCTGGGAACTGTCACTGGGTTGATGAGAGCGGCTGGTGTCCGCAGGAGCAGCGAGGAGGGGACGGGGATTCTGATGGGGAATTGTTAGCTTAGGGCATAGAGCAAACAAATTCCTCCTGGGGTGTTTAGTGGCTTTGACTGGGAAAGTTTTATCTTGTCCTTGTGGTCTGTGGGTGATGCCAGTGGGAGGAGAGAGGCTCCAAGCAGCCTTTTGGACAAGGATTGCTGCCCGCTGAGCCCAAGGGCAGATCCCTGGGGAACAGCAATGGGGAGGGGAAGGACGGCCATGCACTTACGTACGTTACTCCCCTCTAGGAAGAGGGAGGTCCTACCTCTGTGGCATGGGGCCTCAGCACAGGTTTTGGCTTGTGAAGCCTCCACACTGGGCATGGTGGTGCTTTAGGATATAGTTTGTCCTCCCTTTCCTGGGAGGCTTTGGGATTTACCAAAGCGTCCCACGTGCTTCTCGATGACCAGTTGTGCTGAGGGAGGGAACACAACCTCCGGCAACACCTTGCAACTCACATTGTTGTCCTCTCTAGCCCCCAGCACCAAGTGACAATATCAACCTTGGACCTTCTGCTAACCCCAAGTAAGCTTCTTGCAACAGCCAGGTAGGGTGTTGGGCTGGCAGTGATCTGCAGGGGAAACCAGGCGGCCCCTTGGTCTTGTTGGATTTTTTTTTTTTTTTTTTGTAGGTGTCACCCATGCAATTACATCGCTCAGCAATTAGCACCATCTGTATCTTCAGCACACCTTCTTTCAAGGCACTCAGTTCCAGTTAGTCCCTGTTATCGTAGCCATTCTCTGCTATACATGTTCTCTGCAGCCCCTTGTCCTGCCTCCTTTTAGAGGGGGAGTAGGAGATGATATTTAACATATTTTCATCAATGTTGCTTCCCTGGCTAGTTTTCTCCCTAGAAACAAGGATAAACTCTGTCCCC